TGAAGGGACTAAAGAAAGATTTTTATAGTCTTATGACTATTATAATTACTTGTTTGCATGAATGTATTTTCTTCATTTAATCATCTCCCAAGCATATTAGCACAATACCTAGGTACCTAATGAAAGTGTTGGAACATGGCTAGTTAGAGGATTTGTCCTTAAGCTTCTTTGACAATCTCTGTGTTAAATTTTCGCGGTCTAAAGTGGCAAGTGAAGAGAAGAGGGCCTCCACCTCAGTCATCGGCCTGGCTTGCTCCCCATGTCTGTAGGCTTTTGCTTTTATCGCACTTCTGAGATGCCCCCAACAGCGCCTTGAAGCCATCTCTTAAATATGCTGTTTTAGGATGCAGTTAAGAACACAAAAAGACCCCAAAATGTACATTTTCAAGCCTGTCATTCTACTTTTCATCGGATAGTTAAGAAATAAAGTGTAATTTATTTAAAATATATGCATTAAATTAAGAATCATTGTTACTGCACCAGGGGAGGAACAGAACATTTTAATGAATTTGAATTGGCTAAAGGGAAGGTTTAGATCCTTAAGGAAAGAGGAATTTTAAATAGTGTCTCACAGTGTGAATCATTTATGAGTGTTGTATTTGATGCAGAGGAAGTGAAATTTTCAAAAAAGCCACAAATCTCCAAGAATACCCCCTTAGTCACCAGCATATTGCTTCTTCCTCAAAAGGCAAATATCTGACACCTTCCTGTTTGTGCTGCAGCTAGATAATGTACCATATACTGAAAATGGCTGTATATACATTACACCCACCTCCAGACTTACCAATGGTTACTTGGACCTTATGCAAACTACATTTTCCCTGACGTAAATCTGAAACGTAGACTCTTCTGCAGCCTCTTGGAAATTGCTAAATGCATTTTTCTTTTGTCACTCGGTAGAAAGAGCACCTTGTCAAGGATCCTGGAAGCGGAAGTGATTCATTCAAAACAAAAAGACAATTTGGGATTGGGGAGGAGGTGGATCTCTTCAGATTGCTCAATTTCAGATTCTCCAGCTGTTGTATAGTTTTATTTTTTCCATGATTTTTTTCCCCTGTACATCAATGAGCTGTGAACAGCTCTAATAAAAGCTAAACCCAAAATTGTATATAAATATTTCTCAATATTTTGGCTTCCAAAATGGATTCAATTCTACTGAAGACTTCATAGAGAGATAGTATTCTTTACTTAAGAGTTAGGACAGGCCAGGAGGAAAGTCAAGTCCTTGGTCTCTGTTATTCCTCTTTAGATGTCCCAGGACTCCAACTGGAAGTCTCAAGATATCTCCTGATCTCCCTCCTCCAGAACTCCCTAGTTCTGCCCAAGTCATCCCCATCTCAGTTAATGGTAACTCCACTCCAAATATAGAGGTACAAAACCTAGTCCTTGGGTTTTTTTCCCCTGTTATACTGCATTTCCAGTCTGTCATGTCAGCTCAACTTTCACAATATAGCTAGAGTTGGACAACTTCCTATTACCTCTTCTGATATTGCCCTGGTCCAGGCTACCATGATCTCACCCGAATTACTGCAGGAGTTTCCTACCTGGTTTCCCTGCTTTGCTTCTGGCCTACCTTCAGTTTATTCTCAGTAACCACAAATGTCCTCTCCAAGCATGTAGTATCATGCCACTGCTCCGTTTGAAACTCTCCCATAACTCACCATCTCACTCAGAATAAACGGCAAATTCTTTACAATGGCCCGCAAGGGCGCTACATGACCTGTTTCCCTTCCTCCCTTATAAGCTTCCCTGCCCTCCCCTCCTAATCCTCTCCTTCTGCTTCCTCCTTGGAGCCATTGCATATACTGATCCTTCTTTCTCAAACACTCTTCCCCCAGATACCTTCCTAGCTTGCTTCCTCACCTTCTTTGGTTCTTTGCCCAAATGGCCCTGGCCAATGTTAATTACTCTTAGACCTAGCGACTGGACCCCTTTCGTTGGGAGACAATTATCCATAGGTCTCTCGAGTTTCTACACAAATTGTTTTCTGAGTAAAGGCATTAACAGCTAGTTTTCTCTGGACTATATTTTCAAGGATTTTGTACAGCAGGTAACCTTGGAAGATAGACACTGCCTCACTTAGGAGCAAAGTTATTTACTTTCCAGGATAATAAAGATAACATCTCCCTCTGGAGCTGTTTTTGGTCAGATTTGTTAGCAGCCCCTCCATAAGACTGGGGCTTCCCAACCTTAGTGTTACTCTCCTGTAATGCACCCCACTATGTGCACAGGCCACCTGGCCCTCATCCATCATCCTGTGAGAATTAGGGCTCAGAGAACTGGCACAATGATGCTACTCTGCCTTCTGCTGTTGCTGTGATTGGTGAATTGTCTTTTGTTTGTGACCCAGGATTCTTGTGTCTTCTGGCAGAATCCATGAAACTGGCAGGCTAACTTGTTTGCTTGGAAGTTGGGTAAAATTTCAGACCCTTCACAGTTCTTAACACGTGTCCTGAGCCTTTGGCTTTAGAGGGATCCACTTTAGCCCTCCTCTGCTGAGACTTTGTTCAAGTGAGTAGTCCAGAGGCACAACTGAAACATATGCCTTCTCTTCTAACCATGCTCTGGGTACCTGGAACTCCAGAATTTTCTCTCCAAACATTCCCAATGTGTTACCAGGCTTGTAGACACCTTCCAATGACTGACGATGCTCCTAGCATGTATATTTCTATTCCTGAGATATGACTGAGAGATGGCTGTTTTGAGGGGGAGGGTGTAGCTTGACCATACAGGCCAGAGAACTGGCTCTCAAGGTGTGGTCCCTCGACCAGCAACATCAACGTCACCTGAAAACTTGTTAGAAATGCAAATTCATAGGCCCTACCCTATACCTACTGAGTCAGAAATTTTGAGAGTGGGGCCACCTATGTTTTAACACAATCTCCAGGTGATTCTGAAGCACACTCACTGGGCTGGGTTGTCAACATGCTTGTGCATAAGGTCTGTATCAGTGCATGATCTGGAGGTGGCCCCCAGTGATTTCAACTCCTGGTGTTCATACCCTTGTATAATTCCCTCCCTACAGTGCAGGCAGGACCTGTGACTTGCTTCTAATCAACAGAATATGACAGTGGCCATTGGGTGTAACTCCCCTTGTTAGGTTATAAAAGATAGGACATCACATGATTATGCTATGTTAATAGACACTCTCCTCGTGGGCTTGATGAAGTAAGCAGCCTTGTGGGAGAAGCCCGTGTGGCAAGGAGCTGAAGTCAGCATCTAGAAACTGCAGATGTTTTCAAAACCTGAGGGCAGCCCACAGCCAACAGCCAGCAAAAAGCTGGGGCCCTCAGTTCTACAGCTGCAAGGAAATGATTCTGCCAACAACCTGAGTGAGCTTGGAAGTGGATTCTTCCCCAGTGAAGCCTGGAGATGAGAATGCATCCTGGCTGACACCTTGATTGCAGCCCTATGAGACACTAAGCAGAGGGCCCAGCCAAGCTGTGTCTGGACTGCAGACCCACAGAAATTCTGAAATAATAAATGTGTGTTGTTTTAAGCTGTGGAGTTTGTGGTAATTTACTTCTCAGCAGCAGAAAACCAAAACAGTGCAGGAGCCTGTGTGGGAAGAGAGGAGAGACTGCAGGCCTTCTTCTGTGCTCTTGCCTCAGACCTTGCAAATGGTAGTGAGGGGCATATCCCAGACCCTTTGTATAAAATTGCACCCCACCCTCTGGCTACACACAAACACACAGGCACTTCCTAGTTCCCTCTCTTCCCTGCTTTGTTTTTCTTGTTAGCAACTATCCCCCTCCAACATGCTATGCTGTTATTGTTGAGTGCCATCAAGTCAATTTTCACTCATAGCGACCCCAAGTGACAGAGTAAACCTGCCCCATAGGGTTTTCTAGGCTGTAATCTTTATGGGAGCAGATTGCCAGGTCTTTTCTCATGTGGAGTAGCTGCTGTGTTGTACCACTGACCTTTTGGTTACCAGCCGAGCGCTTAACTATTACACCACCAGGGCTCCTTTAACGTGCTATATATTTTACTTAAAATTTTTTGCTCATTATCTCTTCCCATCCCACCTCCCCAAATGTAAGTTCATTGAGGCTAGGCATATTTAATTTTCTTGGTCACTACTTACTCTCTAGCACCTAGAACAGAGCTTGACACAAGTAAGGGTTCAATCAATATTTATTGAGTAAATGAATTAAGCTGCAATCTTTGGAAAGTCTACTGGTTCCTTGTAAATGCTTTATTGAAATCAGCATACTGTTCTTACTGTCTTAGCTCAGTATAAGATAGTTGTATGAATGGCGAAAATGAATGGGAAGCAAATAATTAAACAAAGTAGTTAAATAAATGAAAAATTGGCTCCACTCCCTGTCCCCTTCCAATAAAAAAAAAAAGACATCAAACCTGAGTTTACTGTTCTTATAAGACCAAAGGTCATCTACCACTATTATTAATGAGTACAACCCTTAATTTCTACCAGCGGGTCTCTTCTTATTCAATGGCAGCCTTGGTTGCTGTGTGCTTGCGTGTAGCTATGAGCAGGTGCTCACAGAAGGAAACGAGGAAGAAGAAAGAGTCCAGCTTCCCTGTTAATCTGTGCCCTGCTCTCTCTCTTTCTTCCTTTAAACTACAAGGTTTGTGTCTGGCTCAGTCATTTGAGCCCAAGGACTTTCTGCTTTGAGTCAGGCATAAAGTCCAAGGAGTGGTCTGTAGAGTACCCTGGTTGTCTGCCCCAACACAAACGTAGTTTTTTTTTCCTCTGGGTAGCTATTTTCTATTGTTCTCTGTCATTTGTCTCTTAATCCAACCATTTTGGGAGACAACTGGATGCAGCAGAGAGTGCACTGGCCTGGGATCCAGGAGGCTTGGGTTCAGTCTTTATTTTGCCACCACTCTGTCATCACAGACTCATCCCTGCCTCTCTGTCCTCTATTTGCTCACCTTTTGCCCTTCAAGGTCTTGCCCAGGTCATTTTTGAGAGACCCAGTTAAATTCCTTCAACATGTGTTGCTCTATTATTTTTTTACATTATGTTATTTAAGCTATGTTTGGATGAAAGTGAAAATTCCATTTCCGATGCTTGAAAAGCTTGCAGCCACCTTAGGTATTTTCATTTTCTAATGTAATCCCTAAAATTTTATTCTAGATGCTGATACTTCTCATTTAAGGAATGACTACATACAACATAGGCTATTTCTCTAGTCTGAGGAGATGACTGTGGTCACATGGGGAGAAGTCAAGATGAAGAAAATAGCAGCAAGCAAAGGTTCTGTCATTAAAAGGAGGTCTAGCTTAGTGGTGAAGAGCATGGACGTTGACACACAGATTTGGATCCATGTCATTGTTCAATCACTTCTTGGCTATGTGACTTTTAATTTAACCAAGTCTCAGATTGCTTTTCTACAAAATGGTGAAAATGGTGGCGACCCAGTGGGTTTTGTGACAGTTGAGTGGCATGATGCATGTGAAGTGCTTATCACAGTCATTGGTACTAATTAGGATAATTGAAGGAAAAAAAGTAAGATTAATTTATTAATTTCTCATGAAATATGCATTGAGTACCCCTCTGTGTCCAGCTCTGCACTAGATGCTAGGATAAAAGGTAAACAAACCAAAATCCTTTCTTTGTGAGCTCACCACCCTATTTTTGTTGTACAGTTAGGTGTCAAGCTACTATTTTTAATGCATTCTTTTATCAGAAAATTCTTTGGGTTTTGTACGCCACCTACCACAAAATTAAAAATAGCTTTCTGGAGCTAAGGAAAGGCAAGTAGGTTGAATATAGAAATAAGCGTACAAGTTGATGGAATTTGGACATCCGGCCCATATACAAAGTTCTCTCCTGAAGCATAAATTTCACCTACTAAAACACACTGAAATTTTGCTAACCAAAGGATAAATATTTGAAATGGTGACTGCATTTTGCCCTTCTTTATTTACATGAGTGAAATCCTGAAGATATGCATAGCAGTAGTGAAAATTAGACTTACAAAATAATGCCATGTGTTGGTGTTTGGACGGATTTTGAGAATGAACAAGTTAAATTTTTTGCAATGTTTCAATTGCTTCTCTCACAGTAATTTAATAAAGCATTGGGGGGGAAGTGCTGGCAGTGCTTATCATTTCAGGTAGCATATCTTATTTCTGGTCTTTGTGACTTGGATGTTGATTAGCAGTGCAGTCTTGCTGAAGGAGCGCAAAGCCCACAGAGACAGGTACATGTTCTGGATGACAGGACTTTGAAAATCCCGGTGTCTGTTGCTTAGTAGCATGGTTGGAATTTCTGAGTGTCCTGAAAAGCTTCTAATGACAAGTGGAGATTTCTGCTTCTGCTATTTTAGGTGTTTGAAAAGATAAATAAGGCACAAATGAAAAAGTTTATTGTATTATGTGTGTATATATGTATGTATATATGTATGTGTGTATATATGTATGTATATGTGCATATATGTATATGAAGGAGCCCTGGTGGTGCAATGGTTAAGCACTTGGCTACTAACTGGAAGGTTGGTGGTTCAAACCCACCAGTGGTTCTTGGCAATCTGTTCCCTTGAAGATTACAGCCTAGGAAACCCAATGGGGGCAGTTCTTCTCTGTCCTATAGGGTCGCTATGAGTCGGAATTGACTTACGTCATGACACACAACAATATATATGTATATACGGAGCCCTGGTGGTGCAAACGATTAAGCAGGCAGCTTGAACCCACCCAGTGGCTCCACGGGAGAAAGACCTGGAGATCTGCTTCCATAAAGATTACAGCCAAGAAAACCATATAGGGCAGTTTTTCTCTATGATGTGGGGTTACTATGAGTCAAAATTGACTTGATGGCATCCAACAACAACATTTATGTATATAAAAAAGCGACCCCATCACTTTCTATCCTCCTTACTCTGCCTTATTTTTCTTCCTAGTACTATGTCATTTTATATTATGCATAACTATTTATTTGTTTTCTCATTCTTCAGGCTAGCATTTAAGCTGCTTGAGGGCAGGGACTTTGACCATTTTCTTCATTTCTTCTATCCCTAGTATCTAGAGCAACTACTGGCACATGGAAGGCACTCCATAAGTACTTGTGGAAGAAGAAAAATAAATGAATGAATAGTATGAGTGGATAACATCGTATCTAAATCATATCTAACCCTGGATGGGGGTAGGGGTAGAGGGGTGAACATTTCAGCTTTTGTTAAGAAAATGTTTTTTATTTTTGTTTATTTTTTAATTATTATAGCTCCTCATAAAAGCTCCTAAAATTAAAGTGGTAGAGTGATAGAATTTTTAGTACCCTTTCACTGTTGTTAAATGTTGCTCCAAACATATTGTATATCACAGTAGGGACACTGCATGACTAATCAGTGTTTGAGAATTCCTTAATTGACATAGATGAGCTGGATCTCAAATTCCTTTCTGTTTTCCATATTAACATATTGTTGATGTTGCAGCTGTCCAGTTGGCCCTTGACTCATGGCGACCCCACGCACAATGTTATGATCCATAGAGTTTTCATTGGCAGATTTTTTGGAAGTAGATTGCCAGGCCTTTCTTCCTAGTCTCTCTTAGTCTAGATGCTTCACTGAAACCTGTCCAGCATATGGCAGTGTGCAGGTGGTGGCTGCGTTTGAGGTACACTGGCCAAGAATCAAAACTGGGTGTCCTGCATGGAAGGTGATAATTCTACAGCTGAACCACCATTGCCCCCATATTAAACTTAGAAGGTGAATTTTTCCTTGTAAATTTATTGTCCCTGTTTAAAGAGAAATTAGTAGTACTGTCAGTTATGATTCTCTTGCATCACATAAAATGTTATGTTTAAGTTGAGCCTTATGAAATTGCCAGTATTTGACTACTTTTTGCCTACAAAAACACAATTTTGAACGGTTCAACCTGAAGCATGTTTGACTTCCATTTTAAGCCTATTATTTTCTTAATTCATAGCATTTGTGCACTGAAACAAGAAATACAGTCCAACCGAGTGAATGGCATGTCTTTTATTTTCAGAGGTTATGAAAGTAAAAATATTTGCATATTTTCTATTCCATACAACTAAATTCTCCCTGCATGCAATGTGTCCAAAAGTTAATTTTACGAACTATGTCTATAGTTCAAATGACTTCTCACAAAGTAAAAAACAGAAAAAAAAAAGGCTGCCCATAGCAACTACTCAGTTACCATTACTAGAGTGGATTCCAGCCAGCTTAGTCATGTTTTTTGCCTCACAGTTTTAGAAGCGGTGAAGAGGTTGATTAAAGACTGTATACTTTGGATGATACACATTAGAAACATTCTAATTCCAGCATATGTAAACTTTATTGCATTTTCTACTGCCATTGAGCTTTATTATGTGTTTGAAATTGGACTATGCTGTACCTAAACCAAGCATTTTTTCATGAAATATGCTCAGGATATATGTCTACTCCTAAGACAAGATTTATTATAAGAGATGCTAGAATTTGACTTCTGGTTATACTGAATTTTTTGGAAGATCAAGTAAAACTATCAAATAATGTTTAAAAGATGACTTTCTTTCTCTAGAAGATTTTTATGTATCTTTGGAATCTAAGCTGTCAAACTGCAAAGTGGCCAATAGATTGCTAAGCACCTGATGTGTAGCTTTTGTATGGTACCACGTTCCCATGAAAAATATGTGTAAATTAGGAACTAGAAATATACTATATTAGTTATGGAGCCCTAGTGGTGCAGTGGTTAAGAGCTCAGCCACTAACCAAAAGGTTGGCAGTTCGAATCCACCAGCCGCTCTTTGGAAACCTCATGGGGCAGTTCTGTTCTGTCCTGTATTGAAGCAACGGATTTGGTTTTTTGATATTAGTTATATCATCATAGTTAGTAATAGTGTATTTAAAACCTACTATTTGCATATGAATCTGTGCCTGGTGCAGCATAAGGCCCTGAGACCAAGAAGGGAATTCTGAGCTTTTTTTTTTTTACAAAATAATAAACGGAGACTCAGAGATCATACCCAAAATTCAAGAGCTGGGCCTCACCAATAGCATTTCTTTCCACCAGTCTTGAAACTGTGTATTAGAATGGTAGCTTTTGTTGGTTATTTTATTTATTTAACAAAACCTTACATAGTGTAGAGTTTGATATGGTCCATGCAATGTTTATACGATTCTTATTGTTTAAGACTGGACTCATAATAAGGCATTTAATTTTCCATAAATTTAATTCTGGAAATTAAAACTTTTTTTAAAGACAGAAATGAGATTGAACATGTGCCACAATCAGTGGGTATAAGTTGAATGAATAGAATTGTATCCTGTAATTCAGACTACAGTCTTTATCACATAATTTGCCTTGGATGTCTGTAACCCCTATTGGATTTAGATTTAGCATGATGTGAACACGTAATGCATTTTAATAAATACTAAATAATTAGAGCATGACACTCATCCAATGATTTGAGGCATTCTGTCTCCTCTCAGTCAACACCGCCCTCCCCATATTGTAGAATGCATGGAAAGTGTTGCCACTGGGACTTATGGTAGCACATGATTTATGTCCAAGTTTAGAGAGTTTATCAGGACCCCTAGTGGCACAGTGGTTAAGTGCTTGGCTGCTAACCAAAAGGTTGGTGGTTCAAACCTACCAGCTGCTCTTCAGGAGAAAGATGTGGCAGTCTGCTTCTGTAAAGATTTACAGCCTTGGAAACCTATAGGGCTGTTCTACCTTGTCCTATAGAATCACTGTGAGTTAGAACCAACTTGATGGCAATGGATTTGGTTTGGTTTTTTAGAGTTTATAAGATTGTGTAGACAGTGTTAACAAAGGGTTTGTCAAGTTTCTCTGGAGATTCTAAAATGAAAATCATTTCTATTTAAGTTACTGTCCCAATATATTAATTTTATTTGGTGCAGGTACCAGTTTAAGGCCAAGTACTTTTCCAGACAGAGCTGGATTAAGGAGTGAAAGAGAGCTACTTCTAACCAAAAAATCAAACCAAACCCATTGCTGTCTAATCGACTCCGACTTATAGCGACCCTATAGGACAAGGTTGAACTGCCCCATAGGATTTCCAAGGAGCAGCTGGTGGATTCGAACTGCTGACCTGGTGGTTAGCAGCTGAGCTCTTAACCGCTGTAC